TCGTGATTTAAATGGGGGGAGGCTCCAAATCTTATTCCAAGCAGCCTCAGTAATTGATATATTTAGATCTGTTTCCCATCTCCTTTTATATGCCAGCCCACCACCATATGTTTCCTCTATAAGGCAACTATAGAGTTTTCCTGCAATACCTTTAGGGAGCTGGATGGAGGTCTTACAATAACTTTCAAACATTGTGAGGGGGCATAAAGTCTCTCCTTCTCTAACCAAATTTACTGCAAGTGAGATAATTTGCTGTAGCTGGAGCCATGTGGGTTGAATGGGTGCTAAGGTCTTAAATAGCTCATTTGCTGATTTGGGCTTACCCTTGGGAAAAAAAAATCTTGTATTGTATAAAGCCCTTTATTTTTCCACGCACCAAACTGGGAAATGTTGTCAGGACTTTTAAATTTAGGAAGCAAAATCAAAGGCCTAATTGGAGAGAGGGATTGGGAGCTATCAAATAATTCCATTTTCTCCATATCACAAGAGAAGAATGGAAAAAAAGGGTTTGTGATATCTTTTACTGATTTTGTAGTGGCACCAAAAAAATAATAAATCTAATTCTGGAGAAAAATCATTTCCAATAAATGGACTCAACTAGTTTTAATATTCTCCTGTGCAACTCAAGCCCAAGGCCAGCACAACAGGCTCAGCCTTCAGGTAAGGATACACAACTTTATCGCACGGGTAATAAAACTGAGCCGCCTTAAAATTTAAAACAGAAGGCTAATGTTATCAGAAGGCTCTAGCCGCCGAATCCGCCACCTGGGTCCAGCCCAGCTCTAAGATTTAAAGCTGCTCTCTCCTCCAGAAGCTGATGAGTTTGGTGGAGGACAATAATATTCTTTTGAAGTCGTAGGCTTTCATGGCCAGCATCCATAGTTTTTCTGGGTTTTTCGAGCTGTGTGGCCATGTTCTAGAAGAGTTTCTTTCTGACGTTTCGCCAGCATCTGTGGCTGGCATTTTCAGAGAATGCTGGAATGGAAGAGAGTGGGTATATATTCTCTGAAGATGCCAGCCACAGATGCTGGCGAAAGGTCAGAAAGAAACTCTTCTAGAACATGGCCACACAGCCCAAAAAACCCACAAAAACTAATAATATTTTTTATCAGGAACAGGCAGGATTGAGAAAGGGCCACAGTACAGTGGATCAGATTTTTGTGTTACATCATTTAATTTAGAAATGCACTAGTGGCCCTTCCAAACGGCGGTTTGCTGCATTTATTGACTTCTCCTCAGCTTTTGATACCATTGAATCATCTTTGGGGCAAGTTTGCCAGGACTAACATAGATAAGAGGCTGTTAGTCTTATTTCAGGAGCTATGCACTAATACAACTATCGGTAAGGATCTAAGGATCGGTACAGATGGTAGGTTGTTGGAGGAAATTAAGACAACAAAAGGAGTCAGACAAGGCTGCTTGCTAGCACCCCTCCTATTTAACCTCTATATTAATAATATTGTAACCATGGCAAATTGTCCTCCCTCCCTCCATAGGGAATCACAAAATGGCAATTCTGATATATGCGGATGACATTGTATTATTATCTATGAATAAAATTGGGCTGAAGAGATGTCTAAATAAACTTTATTAGTTTTCCCAAACAGAACAACCTAGATTAAATTATGCTAAATCAAATGTGATTGTCATTGGACGTTACCACACTGGCCCTAAAGCAGAAAGAATTCAGCATCATTTCAGCATCATTTCAGCATCATTTCAGACCTTTTTTCCGTGTGTTCACACAACGTTGCAGCAAACCCCGCCCTTCCCTGCATCATTTCAGCGTCATTTCAGTTCTTTTGAATTCCGTGAAACTCATGGAATTCAAAAGAACTGAAATGACGCTGAAATGACGCTGAAATGATGCAGGGAAGGGCGGGGTTTGCTGTGACGTTGTGTGAACACACGGAAAAAAGGTCTGAAATGATGCTGAAATGATGCTGAATTCTTTCTGCTTTAGGGCCAGTGTGGTAACGTCCATTGGCAAACGGCCTCCTAAATTTGATTGGAATATAGGGAAAAATCAGATAGAGCAGGTTCCCTCTCTTAAGTACCTGGGGGTATATATTAATGAGATAACAATTTGGAAGACTCAGCTAAAAAACATCAAAATAACAGTACAGCACTCAGTCCATGCCTTACTGAAATTTTTCTACTCTGGAGGGGGCAGCAGGCTTGTAATTCCAGTGCTGAAGGTGTTTTTAAGGAAAGTAGTGGATCAAATGCAATATGGAATTGAGAGCTTGGTGTTAAATTAAGGTTGCCATATCCTGTTTTTCCCCAGGGCAATCCTGTTTTTTCAGGCTCTTGGAATGTCCCAACCCAGTTTTGGGTCCATATCCCGGCTCCCCAGAGACAGATGCTCTCTCTCCCATGGAGGACCCTCTAGGAATCTGAAGTTGCCATCCTCTGAGGCTGAGAGAGTGTGACTAAAATGAGTTTTTTAATGCTTGATCTGGGAATTGAACCCTGGTCTCCAGAGTTGTAGCCCAAGGCTCATACTACTAAGCCAATGTTTTTGGCTTTTAGTGGGTCTTGTCCTCCATTTTTTCTTGAATGTCCTACATTTTTGTCCCAGTTTTGTGGTAGAGAATTATGGCAACCCTATGTTAAATCTCAATAATCTTTATGACCTAGAGGTCTGTCAAAACATGTTCTTAAGGCACTTGTTGGTAGACCCTCCAGGGACTCCAGTTGCGTTCCTTGGGACAGAGACATGGCTGGTATCTATAAAAGCTAGGGCCGAGATGGCAGCCCTTTCATACTATAAGAGGACTGTCTCCCCAAGCTCTGTTTATTCAAACAATGGAAGAAAAGTGGCTGGGCGATGCTAGTTCAAGATTTATTAATCTCTAAAAACAGATTTTTTTTTGTCTTTTTTCTGGAGTTAAAAATAAGCTCAGGGACTGGATTTATGAATGGGATGGTGGCCAGGATTAAGCCTCAATTAAGTCTTCAAATTTCTCCCGCTGGGATCACCTGTTGAAATCAAATCATGTAAGGGCTCAGTATTTAGAAACTCTCACCTTTGTCCCCATGAGAATGGCATTTAGAGAATTACGTTTCCAAACTATTCCAACATCTCTCTTGGATGGCAAGTTCCGCTTACCTGGGGCCGGTCCGAGGATCCCCGGGTCTTCCGCGGGCCGATGGTGGTGGGAAATGGCAGCGCACGTGGCTCCCGCTGCCACCGCCACGTGCGTCATGGCCACTATTTTTCCCCAAAATGGCGCCCGCGACTCATTTGCACGTGTGCAGTACTCCTGCGCATGCATGAACGAGCCGCAGCTACCATTTTGGAAAACAAAATGGCAGCCGCGGCCACCATTTTGTTTTCCAAAATGGTGGCTGTGGCTCATCGCACATGCGCAGGAGTACTGCACACGTGCAAATGAGTCGCGGGCGCCATTTGGAAAACAAAATGGTGGCCACGATGCACACAGCAGCGGGGGTCAGCGGCGGCGGCAGGGGTCGGCGGGGGCCGGTTGGCAAGCCTCAGCAGGCCGGGTGCGGCCCGCGGGCCGTTGGTTGCTGACGCCTGAGGTAGAGGTCCTCTCACATTATTTACTTTATGGCCAGCTCTATCAATATCCTAGGAAATGATTATTGGGTCAGATTCTGGCTTCTTCCTTACATGAAAATATGCTGTTAACTTTCAGACTGTGATCCATATGTTACATATAGAACAGCTTTATTTGCTAAAGCGGCTTTAGCAAATAAAGTATAAGTAGTATACATGCGGTACAACTTATCTGAAAGATATTGCTATAGATTGTGCGAGGGATTCACTTATTATGGTGTTTTTATGGATATATTGTCACCATTTTTTTATGGAGTTGTAATGGCTTTTAGTCAAATACATGACTGACTGACAAATTAGTAAAATTGGAGCTTGGAAAAGTTACCCGTTTAGGACTACAACTCTCAGAATTGGTGGTCATGATGGATGGGAGAACCTAGGAATTGTAGTACCCCCCCCCCAAAAAAAGTAACTTTTCCCAAGCTCTGCTTATGTTCTGCCTCATATCCTAGGTTCCTGCATAGTGACAAAACTAGAACTTGGCAATATGATTATTTGGGACTGTAATGCCTGACTTTTTTTGGCTGGGGGATTCTGGGAATTCTAGTCACAACATTTTTTTCTAAGCCATAGGTAAATCCACACACTAGACTCACAGAAATTTGTACACTCAATGAAAAAGTTTGTTCTCTATTCCCCTTTTATATAGTCTTTTGGTGATACAGCTTGTTTCCCTTATCCAAAATGCTTGGGACCAGAAGTGTTTCAGAGTTCGGATTTTGGAATATTTGTGTATATATAATGAGATAATCTTGGAGATGGGACCAAAATCTAAACATAACATTCATTTATGTTTTGTACACACCTTATACACATTGTTGTTGTATGTCTTCAAGTCATTTCCGACTTATAGCGATCCTAACGGAAACCTATCATGGGGTTTTCTTGGCAAGATTTGTTCAGAGGTGTTTTGCCATTATCTTTCCCTGAGGCTGAGAGAGCATAGCTAGCCCAAGGTCACCCATTGGGTTTTCATGATTGAGTGGGGATTCGAACCCTGGTCTCCAGAGCTGTAGTCCAATATTTAAACCATTGTACCACACTGGCTGCTCTGGATCTAAAATGGCCCAACACAGTCCTCATGCTTTATTTTTTCCATTGAGCCATCTCCAAAGTTATATTTGCTTTCTGGAACTGGTGTAGTGGTTTGCATGCTGGACAAGACTTCAGGGGACCAGGGTCCAAATCCCCACTCAGCCATGGAAACCCACTAGGTGACCTTAGACAAGTCACACTCTCTCAGCCTCAGAGGAAAGCCATGGCAAACCTCCTCTGAAGACATTTTAATAACTAGTGTGGTGTAGTGGTTTCAGTGTTTGGCTAGTACTCCAGGAAACAAAGGTTCTAATCCCTGTTCAGCCATGAAAACCCACTGGGTGGCCTTGGGCAAGTCACACTCTCTCAGCCTCAGAGAAAGCCCATGATGCCAAACCTCCTGTGCACCGATCTTGCCAAGGAAACCTGAGGAGAGGGTTGCCGTAAGATGGAATTCACATGAAAGCATTAGGAGCAGTGTGGTGTAGTGGTTTGAGTGTTGGACTAAGACTCTGGAGAACAGAGTTCGAATCTCTGCTTGAGAAACCCACCAGCTGACCCCTGGGCACTTCACACTCTCTCAGCCTCAGAGGAAAACAAGGGCACACCTCCTCTGCACAAATCTTGCCCAGAAAACTCTAGGAATCCTTGGAATAAATCTTGCCAAGAAAACCGTATTAATCACTTTATTAAAGTTAATAGTTTAATTCTATTTTAATGCTGACTTCTTGTATGTTAATTTTACCTACCGTATATAGTAATTGTTTTAATTTTAAGCTTCCTTGAGTTCAAATATTGGGGGGAAAATGGGCTATAATTAAAGATGATGATATCACCATAAGTTCAGAGCTGGGTTTGAGACCACGTTTTGAATCTCCACTCAGCTCTGGAAACTTCACTGGGTGGCCTTGGGCAAGTCACACTCTCTCAGCCTTAGAGGAAGCCCATGGTGCCAAATCTCCTCTGAAAAAATCTGGCCAAGAAAACTTTCAAAGAGGGTGATTATAAGTTGGAGCTATCTTGAAGGCACATAACACCAACATTCAAACAGGCTGCTATTTAGACATGCTTCTCTTTTTCTGAGCACATGCGTCGAACGATAGCAAACATTAAAATTCCTGACCTACTTTTGGCTGGGTTTGCATTCAGTGTGTGTCAAGCAGAGAGAAGATGAAATTTCCTATTCTTGGGGTTTTGAAATGTTGACAGTTGTGTGCATTGCGCAATGAGAAATTGCTACCGAAATGAAGTAAAAGGTCTTTCAGAAGCTGGTTTCCATGGCGGATCTTGCCTATTTTGGGAGCAAGGAGAGGCAGAAAGAAGGCAGGCAGCTTGGAAAAGTTACTCTTTGAACAACATGACTGGTGGCACTTAACATTAATTCTGTGGGGAAGGAGAGTTTTCATTTGTTCATCATAAAACCCTCTTGAAGTACAATATGCAGAATAATGCCACCTACTTGCTAACCCTGAACGCAACTGCCCAATGGTTTGTGTACAGGGATAAGGAAAAATATTACAAGAATCAATGCAGCAAAATAGATGCTGACAACAACAAAGGAAGAACAAGAGGTCTCTTCAACAAGATCCAAGAAATCAAAGGGAACTTTAAACCAAAAGTGGGGATGCTGTACGTCCAGAAGGGGAACACATTACATGATCAGGAAACAGTAAAAAGATGATGGAAACACTATACAGAAGAACTATATCAAAGGGATCAAAGTTTGGCAGATTCATAGTAAGAAGAACCATATGAAGATGAATTTTAAATAATGAAGTGGAAATCTCCTTCTGTGCAATTCAGAGAAAGAGATGTCACGGCAATAGAGCTCCTCCAAGCTATGGTGACAGAATCTGCTTTAGTTCTAAATAAAATCTGCCAACAAATATGGAAAACAAAACAACGGCTCACAGATTGGAAACGCTCTGTATACATTCCAGTCCTCAAGAAAAGAGGACATCAGGGCTTGCAGTAATTACAGGACCATTGAATGAATTCCCCATGCTATCAAGGAAATCCCCAAAGTTATATAGCAAAAACTCTTTATCATACATGGAGCGAGAAATGCCAGATGCCCAAGATGAGTTCAGGACAGAAAGAGGCACTAGGGATCATATTGCAAACCTATGTTGGAAAGTGGAGCTCACCAGAGAATTTCAGAAGAAAATCTATGCTTTATAGATAATAGCAAAGCCTTTGAATGTGTAGATCATGAAAACTTTTGGATTGCTCTTAAAAAATGGGTGTGCCACAACATTTGATTATCCTGATGCATAATCTGTACTTAGGACAAGAAGCTACTGTTAGAAGAGAATATGGAGAAATGGAATAGTCTCCAATTGGAAAAGGAGGTCAGGTAAGGCTGCATTTTATCATCCTATCCATTTAATTTATATGCTGAATATATCATATGTATAGTAGGATTAGATATGGAAGAAGGAAGTGTGAAAAATGGAGGAAAGAATAGTATAAAAGGTATGTGGATGAAACCATATTACTAGCTGAAAACAGCAAAGACTTGGAACAGTTACTGAAGAAAATCATCAAAGAAAGTGCAAAGGCGGGTTAACAGGTGATCATTAAGAAAACAAAAATAATGACCACCTATGATACCCATAATGTCAAAGTAGATGATGAATACATTGAAATAGTTCAAGATTTTCAGTCAAAATCAGAGCAGAGATTGCAATCAAAACATCAGAAGAAGACTAGAATTTGGAAGGACAGCCATGAAGGAACTAGGCAAGATCTTGAAGAGTAAATATATATAATTGAATATAAAGTCAGGATGGTCCATGCCATTGTCTTTGTATGTATGACTGTGAAAGTTGGACGGTGAAGAAAGCGGATTGGCAGACAATTAATTCATTTGAGATGTGGTGCTGGAGGAGAGTTCTACGGATAGCGTGGACTGCTAAAAAGACAAATAAATGAGTGAGAGCAAATCAAGCTTGGAATCAACCCTAGGAGCCAAGAGGACTAAGCTGAGACTGTTGTACTTTGGCCATATCCTAATAATGCTTGGGAAGGTAGATTAATGCTTGGGAAGCAGGAAAAGACTGCATTCCAGGTGAATAGACTCCATCAAGGAAGCCACAATGGCTGCCCTGAGTCTGCAAGACCTCCGCAGGGCTGTTGAGGATAGGGAGACTTGGAGGTCCCTTATTCAGAGGGCTGCCATAAGACTGGGCAGCAGTTAGCAAGAATTAGCTATTAAAAAGTCTGTTTTCTGTCCAAATACCAAATGAAGTTATTGAGTCCAGTTCATCTATCCATGCATTTCTCTATAAAATTAGTGTATCGTTCATATTTATAAATTGCATGATGCATACCTTTCTGATTTTTTTTTGAAGGGCCCACTCCCACAAAATGCAAGGGTTTTTTTTTGGCATCTTGTTCAGTCTATCTAAAAGGGAAAGTGTTCCAACCTTCAAATAGGGGACACCCCTAATAATAGGGGACGCTCCAATCTTATAAAGGACACGCTTTCTGGACCTCAAATAAGGGATGTCCCTATAATAAAGGACACCTGCCAAACCCTATAAGGAACTTGTTCCTTATAGGGTTTGGCAGGTGTCCTTTATTATAAGGGATATCCCTTAATTGAGGAAGCTTATCCCTTATAGCAGGGGTAGGCAACCTTTTTGAGCTGGGGGCCGGGTTGCTGTCCCTCAGACAATTGACGTGCCGAAGCACCAAAAATAAATAAATAAATAAATAAATAAATAAATAAAATTTTAAATTAAAAAAAGAATTTAAAAAAATTTAAAAAAAATGCATGCACACTCTCTCAGCCCCAGAAAAGCCATGGCAAAACCCCTGTGAAGATTTTGCCAAGAAAACCCCAAGAACAAGTAATAACAACAATAATCAATATCATCATGGGGGGGCGGCGGCGGTGGGGGGGGCGGCGGCGGCAGGACCGGTTTGGGGCCGGTCCAAAGGCCTTGCTGGGCCGTATCCGGCCCCCGGGCCTTAGGTTGCCTACCCCTGCCTTATAGGGTTGGCAAGTGTCTTTTATTATAAGGAACATCCCTTATAATAAAAGACACTTTCCAACCCTATAAGGGATAAGCTTTCTGGTCCTCAATTAAGGGATATCCCTTATAATAAGGGACACCTGCCAAACCCTATAAGGCACAAGCTTTCTGGTCCTTAAATAAGGAACATCCCTTATAATAAGGGACACCTGCCATGATTTTCAGGGATAAGCTTTCTGGTCCTCAAATAAGGGATGTCCCGTGTTTGAGGACCAGAAAGCTTCTTTTATTACAAGGGATTATAAGGGATAATAGGAAGCACCTGTCCATCCTTTAAGGGGCAAGCTTTCTGGTCCTCAAATAAGAGACATCCCTTTTAATAGAGGACACCTGCCAGTCCTATAAGGGACAAGCTGTCTGACCCTCAAAGAAGGGACATCCTTCCAAATAGCTGGCACCTGGCATCCCAAACCCAATGTCTTGTGGGGAGTTACATGTTCCCCATCCCTGATTCCTGTTTCTCCCTCTCCTTGTCTCCTTGGCCTTTTGGCTTAGAGTAGAAACATCTCTAACCATGCATCTCCTTCCAACTGTCTCGGATGCCTCTGTGTTTTCCCCTGTGGGCCTTTGAACTCTTTTAATGACTCTCATATTCAATCCTCTGCATGTTTGTGACTTATTTCTAAACCGACAAAACCCCTTTTGATCCTCTGCCTCCGGGAATAGTTGGTCCCAAACCAGACGCTCTCTTAAGCTCCTGCAGTCTCTCAACCCCCGGGGTTTAGTTTAAAATGGGTGAGAAGCTGTCAGTTTTTAGGAGGCCATGTGGGTCCCCAAGAGGCCTTGGAGCATCACACACGACAAAACACCATTTTTTCTTGCCCACAGATCCCCCAAAGTGGCCTCTCAAGGTGCAGGTGGCATTTCCATCATTTCTGGCCTCTCATGGACCATTTGAGACCTAGGAGATCCAGCGTGGTGTAGTAGTTTGAGTATTGGACTACAACTCTGGAGACCAGGGTTCAAATCCTCGCTTAGCCATGAAAATCAACTTGATGACCTTGGACAAGTCACATTCTCTCAGCCTCAGAGGAAGGTAAAGGCAAACCCTTTCCCCAAAGAAATCCTGCCAAGAAAACACAGTGCTAGGCTTACTTCAGGATCACTGTTAAGTCAGAAACGACTTGAAGGCACGCAACAGCAACAACTGAACGAGGACTTTTTAAATAACAAGGACGTCATTTCGGCTTCACATCCTGCTTTTAAAGTTGGAATTAAGTGCATAAGTCACCAACAGGATGCGCAGCCTTAATGTCTGTGTGCAGCCATGTTTTGCAAAGTGCATAAAATTTACACCATTTGTGGAAATATTCAGGCAAACAATGACTGGTTTTTCTGTGTATGTGTTTTTCTGTGCAAAAAGTTATTGTGTGCATAGAAATTGGTGCATTTTTCACAAAAAAAATGCATTCTTTTCTGCCTCCAAACATGATTTCGGTACAGCAAAACTATGTGTATTTTTGTGCAAATGATTTTTCTCTAGTGATGTTGCAAAGTATGAACAGTGCTTGAAAATTGTGCAGAAACCCACACAGAGCTGAGGGGGAAGTTCCAGAAATAATTTTGTCCTGAATGTGCTGTTGCATGCCTCCAAAGTTTTTTCCAACTCATGGCCACCCTATTACAGGATTTTCTTGGCAAGACTTGTTCAGAGAGAGAGAGAGAGAGTGCCTTCCTCTGAGACTGAGAGAGTGTGACCGACCCAGGGTCACCTGGTGGGTTTCTGTGGCAGAGCTGGGATTCGAACCCTGTTCTCGAGTTGTAGCCCAATGCTCAAGCCACTACACCAGACTGTCTTGAATGCAGGAATGAAGCAAGCCAAGATTTGCATCCCTAGAGAAGAAGTAGCTTCCCATCTTCCCAGTCAGTTGTTGAATCCCATTTTAGAGAAGAGAGCTGGAAGGAGAGGCAGTCAGAAGACAGCTGGACAAGAAGAGCTAAAGGCTGGGAAGGAGCACTTTTGGAAGCTGATGAAGTGCATCAATCAGTCCAGCTCTCCTCCTTTTGCTTGAAGAAGGAAGTAATCCAAAGACTAAAAGAGGAGCAGTTCATAAAGAAAAAGACAAAGACTTCTTTCTGGGACTTCTTTCATTCCCCCCCCCCCCATTTTTCTTTCCGGGGGGGAAAAATGAAAAATTCATTATGGGATACAGATGGAGTCTCCCTTATCTGAAATGCTTGGGACCACAAGTGTTTGGGATTTCAGAGTTTTTTGGATTTTGAAATGTTTTCATTTACATAATGAGATACCAAGTCTGAACACAACATTTGTTTATGTTTCATATAACTTGAAGATAACTGTATACCATATTTTAAATACTTTTGTGCATAAAACAAATCTTAGAATAGAATCGTAGATTCATAGAGTTGGAAGAGACCACAAAGGCCATCCAGTCCAACCCTTTTCTGCCTTACAGGAATTCCCAATCAAAGCATCCCTGACAGATGGCCATCCAGTCTCTGTTTAAAAACCTCCAAAGAAGGAGACTCCACTACTCTCCAAGGGAGCGTGTTCCACTGTCTCTTGCTGTCAGGAAGTTCCTCCTAATGTTGAGGTGGAATCTCTTTTCCTATAGCTTGCATCCATTGCTCTGGGTCCTATTCTCTGGAACATCAGAAAACAAGTTTGCTCCATCCTCAATATGGCATCCCTCCAAATACTTAAACAGGGCTCTCATATCACCTCTTAACTGTCTCTTCTCCAGGCTAAACCTAGTTCCCTAAGTCTCTCCTCATAGAGATTCATGGTTTCCAGACCCTTCACCATTTTAGTCGCCCTCCTTTGGACACGCTCCAACTTCTCAACATCTTTTTTTAAAGTATGGGGCCCAGAACTGGTCACAGGATTATTCCAGGTGGGGCCTGACCAAAGCAGAATACAGTGGCACTATTACTTCCCTTGATCTGGATACTATACTTCTATTGATGCAGCCTAGAATCGCATTGGCCTTTTTAGCTGTGGCATCATACTGTTGACTCATGTTCACCTGTGGTCTCCTAGATCCCTTTCACACGTAGTCTCCTTAAGCCAGGTGTCCCTCATTCTATATCTATGCATTTCATTTTTTTGCCCTTACATTTCTCTGTGTTGAAATTCATTTTGTTAGCTTAGGCCCAGCTTTCTAATCTGTTAAGGTTACTTTGAGTTTTCATCCTGTCCTCTAGGGTATTAGCTATTCCTCCTAATTTGGTGTCATCTGCAAATTTGAGAAGCCTGCCCCCTATTCCTTCATCCAAATCATTGATAAAGATGTTGAATAGCCCTGGGCCCAGGACAGAACCCCACTGGACACCCCAATGGTCACTTCTCTCCAGGATGAAGAAAAAGAGGAGCCATTGCTGAGCATCCTTTTGGGTTCAGCCGGTCAACATCTTCTAAAAGAAGCTGGACAGTTACCTGCTGGGGATGCGTTAGCTGCAGATCCTATTTGGAGCAGGGGGTTGGACTAGATGGCCCATGGGACCCTTCCAACTCTAGCATTCTCAGATTCCAGGATCTCTAGTGCCTGCTTCCAGATTCTTGTTCATTGTGACGAGAGTACAGAAATGTACATATGGGCCACTCAATGCTGTAATTGCAGCTAAGCTCCAATTACCATAATTAAATTTCTACACAAATAATAAAAAAAGAAAACCGTCCAGCTCTGTAATGCCTAGCCTAGAAATACAAACTGGCAGTTTTTCCCTCCAACTTTGGGACTACTGGCATTAACAGCACAAGAGGAAACATTTTTAACTAAGTGTTGAATAAATACAATCAGAATTTAAGGAAGGGAAGGAAGCGCGCATATAAAATCTCATGGCCACAAGCCAAATGGAAATCAGGAGAGCTCCTTAGCTGAATCTCAAGATTCTCAAATTGCTTGGCAATTGCTCAGCTTCTGTGGTTGCAACAGATGTACTGATGTCGGTAGTGATCCTGGATGAGTGTCTCCTCTGTATTGACTTAGGGTCCTTGGAGCTTTCCCGCTTGCATTGTTGGTTTTTGATTTGCAAAAGGGATACAGAGCAGAGATATCAAGTGGTAGCTGGTGGCTTCCATGTCATTAGAGTGGAATCTACTCTCTATGGGGCTTATGGCATTCCTGAAAGAGGCGTCTTATCTCTTCTGGGTTCAATCCTCGTCTGGGATATACCCGGGTGTTATCACACGTAATTTTCTGCCAATTCTGCTGCGATGTCGCCAGCCAAATCTAGCCTGGGTCCAAGGCACATTCAGCGGGCCAATTATTCAAAGTTGGAAGCTTCCATTTTCGAAAAAGTGCCAGCTGAATGCAGCTTGAACCTGGGCTGGATTTGGCTGGTGGCATTGCAGCAGAATCAGTGGTGAATTACATGCAATAACACCCGAGTATATCCCAGATGAGGACTGGACCCAGAAGAGGTAAGACGCCCCTTTCAGACATGCAATACGCTCCTATGTTAAGAGACCTACCTCCCCAAATAGGTTCATCATGCAGGATAGCTCATTTCAAACTCAGTCTAAAACTTGGAATGGATGCACAGCTCCACTGACATGGACACCACCACTATCAATTTCTGATAGTTCTCTGGGTACTACTCAAAGTGGTAGTCCATGACTGGGACAGTAATGATTGAAAAGCATGTTTTTCAAGGATTGAGAAGCTCTAACAGGAAGAATCTCTACTGATGAGAATCTTCATAGTTTAGGACTAGTTTGTGACTGGTTGTTTTACGCAGAAAACATGATTTTCCACACAGGAAATGAGATTTGCTCTGTTAAGAGAGCTATTCCCCCATCTGTAGCTTGTTTTCTGCTGCTCCAGAGAATAAGACCTGGAGCAATGGATGCAAGCTATAGGAAAAGAAATTCCACCCAAACATTAGGAGGAACTTCCTGACGGAAAGAGCTATTCGACAGCGGAAGATGCTGCCTTGAAGGGTGGTGGAGTCTCCTTCTTTGGAGGTCTTTAAATGAGATTTTCTGTGCAGAAGAGAATATTTCTAGGCAGAAATGTTATTTTCTGCACAAGTAAAAGCTGCAATACAAATCAACAACATGCAAATTTTGCACAGAATGATGTCCTGCATTACAACAGTTTCTGCAAAGCCAATAATTTTTCTACACAACTGTAGAAACAGTAGGTTTCTCCATCCCTTATTTTTCCTTCTGCAAAGCCATTCATTGATCCACCCCGGGGCATTTTGATGCTTACAGCTTTTGCTGACTTTATGATGCCTTCTCAAAGTGAGTGCACCTATTTGCTTTCTGCTGTCAAGTTGACTTTGACTTATGGCAACCCTATGAATGAGAGACCTCCAAGACACCCTATCACCAACTGCCACACATGTCTTGTAAACCCAGTGCCATGGCTTCCTTGATTGAGTCAATCTACCTCTAATGTGGCATGACACCCTCAGTTTGGGCATTTTGGCTTCTAGTGAGAATTCAGGCTTGATTTGTTCTACGTCCCATTCATTTTGGTGGCTCAGGGTATCTGTAGAAGCCTCCTCCAGTGCCACATTTCAAATGAGTTGATGTTCTTCCTATCCACTTTCTTCATGGCACCTGTAGTCCTGTCAAGTCCAATAGCAACCCAGTTCAGATAAAATGCTATTTGTAAACACTGAAATTCTGGACCATGCCAACAACTATCAGGTCAGAATGCACAGGGAAGCCATTGAAATCCACAAACACCTGGACATCTTCAACAGGAAAGAAGAAACCCTAAATGTCAGGGCTGGGGAGTAGTGGTGATTTTGGGGTTACTCCTTATCCTACTCCAGAGTAAAGTATTTTTTCTTAATGTTATTCCTACTCCTGTAAAAACCTCTTACTCCCTACTCCTACTCCCCAGCCCTGCTGAAAGTAAACAAAGTTTGGCTACCGGTCCTAAAAAACTCCAAAATCAAGACCCAGCACATGCAAATGAACATCACTGAGGGTCAGAGGGTTTCCCAACAGACAATGTATTACTGATTAGATAGTCACAAATCCCCCTCGCATATCCTCTCACCCCGAGGCCTTGCCATTCAATACCAGACCAACACACAGATTAACATGTAAATCACCTTCTCTCAACCAAGGATCACACAGTATATCTAGCCCACTCACTTCCATGCCAGCATTCTCTGACGATGCCAGCCACAGATGCAGCCGGAACGTCAGGAATAAATTCTTCCAGAACACAGCCACATAGCCCAAAATCCCCACAAAAAACTCAGGCTTCAGTAGTTAAAACTCAGCAAACTTTTATTCAGTAACTATAGATCCAATCCAGAGACATTCATTGTTACACCTAAATGACAAGTGTTAATATTGCCTAATTAAAATACAGTTGACCTTCTGTTTGCGCAAGGGATCCGTTCCATACCCTCCCTCCCCCTCAAGAATGGAAAATCGTGTATATTCAAGCCCCGTAGGCTTGAATGGAAGGGTGCTGCAGGGGGCATGCCCCATTTTGTGCCCCTCTGTTCGCCACCCACAGATAGGCGAGGGTCATGGCTCCCAAGACCATGAGAAGGGAGGGGCAACTGTACACACAATTTCAGCCTATGGGGGGCTTAATTCATATTTGTTACCGTTTATGAACACATTTGCCCCTCTTGTTTCCCTATTGCCCCTTCTTAGTTCTTATAGCCAGACTCTTCTTACAGAAATGACCTTAGAATCATAGACTCATAGGGTTGAAAGAGACGTCAAGGGTCGCCCAGTCCATCTCCATTCTGCCATGCAGGAAGACACAGTCAAAGCCCTCCTTGTGACAGATGGCTGTCCAGCTTCTGTTTAAAGACTTCCAAAGAAGGAGACTCCACCACTCTCTGGGGCAGCAGC